CGAAAACATAGACCACCATCGCCCAGAATAGAAAAAACACCAGAACCTGCGCTTCAAACTTCAAAGGCATGGCAGGCTTCATGGCAGGCTGTTACTTCAAAAGGGTTCTCAAAAAAAGGTTCTTAGACAACTGTTGGGAGTCCGGGAACGGATCGTAGCGCGAGCTTGATGCCCTTCAGGATGATAGTCAGCTCAGGCACGGCGTGCATCAGCTTTGCCATTCGCGACAAACGAAGCAGTTTCACCATGCGGAACATTCCTTGGTGAGATTGAAGAACCGTGAAGCAGGAGCTGTGCAAGATTCAAACAACAAAAGAACTCTATATATATATACACCATATCAGCTGGGTAGATGTCGACTTCCTCATGCTGTTCATAGCATAATAGTACAACAGCCTCGGCAACATAAAACTTGGAGGTAAGCTTCTCAAAGTGGAAAGGTCTAGAGAATTGGCAAGATCAATGTTGAAGCCAAGGACAATAATCGGCGTGACCCAGGTCTCCAAGACCATGAAAAAGACCTCTGGCAGGAGAGAAGAACCAAAACAAACCTGGTGCTTAAGAGTAGTTGAAACAAACAAAAAAAGTGATAGCAAAGGATCAAAAAGTCTTGCTGTTGGTGCTTAAGGGACCAAGCAAGAATCGAAGACAAACCATCTGTCTCGCAGAGCACGGTACTTCTCTGCAAAGGCCATAAAGCGGATAAAGACTTCCGCAAAAAAGTAGGTGCAAAAGAGATTTTCCACCACGATGAAGATTGGAGGTGAGCTTGTGATAACAGCAGCGTCGTTTAAATCAGCATCAATGGCAATCCAAATTGCATTCAAACAAACCATGGTGAGGCTCAAGTAGTCGAAGATTATACTCCGGGCAATCTGTTGAAACAGCCCTTCTTCATGATAGTAGTCAAATACATTGTATGGAGGTTTTATCAAAGCTTGTCTGGCTTTCTGCTTAAGTTGATCAGGATCATTGAAACCTCTGGTGCGAGAGGCTGCCAGCTTTCCTTCATTCTTGTTCTTTGTCTCCAGTTTGACCATCTTCTTCGAACCTCTTTTCTCAAATATCTTCTCCTTCTTCTGAACCACGGTCTGCATTTTGGGATCGGTCTGAGTCATCTTCTCCTGCTGTTCCACTTCATCTGTCTGAGAGAAAAACTCTCTGACACGAACTCGCTTTGGAGCATGCTTATCAGATTGGTTGCGACCTGTGAGGATGCTCATGGGCACGGACACTGCAGCTGACTGCCCCATTCCCCAAGTGTCATCACCATCCGTCCTCACAAAGTCCAGGTTCCTTTGATGCGTCGGTGGAATCACACCAATCAAGATTCTTTCCAAACTGCCACATAAGTTGCTCACACATGAGGTGGATGCTATTCACAGCCATGCACAGCCAAGCTTCATGGCTTGTTGAATCTTCCCAATCTCGTTCAACACTGCATTGGTGTCAGACCCCAAACGATCCTTAGAACCAGGGAAGAAGCTGATGGCACAAAGTTCTGTCTAAATCCAGAATAGATTGTGCATGCAATGAGTGAAATAGAAGAATTAAGGTTGCACTATCAAATTGTAGCTCTTTCTCACAAACAACTCAAAGTCTTGTCCAAAAAGAATAGAGTATCTTACAATCTTACGAAGAACAATCAGAATCGATACGCAAGAACAAACAAGGGCAGGAGTCGAAGATTTGACGAAGATCGTCTTTGATTGCCTTCGTGCTTCCTGCAACTGGCTCCAGTGTGGAGTCAAAGCGAGAAGCTAACCTCGGCCACAGATCATCACACATTAAATGGCCCTTCTTTTCTAGCCCGGGGTAGACACGAGCAAGAGGTAAGTATGGAAGAGTAGGGAGTAGCTACTAGCTAACAAGTAGTACCGATCGGACGCAGAAGGACTCAGGCTCAAGGACACTTAACTACTAGCGATGGCCTCCAACCTAGATGTTTGGGGAAATTGCAAAAAAGAAAAGTGCAGATTGGTGGCGTCTCTGCACTGTGAGCACCTTCATGTAAAACATCACTCAGCTTCTCCTTGGAATCTGAGAGATAAAGGCTACAAAAGAGCAAGCATTGCATGCATCTATTCCATCCAAATTGCATGCATGGCGGAAAGGACAATCTCAACCTAGACTCTGGCGCCACTAGAGTCACTAGAACTTTAGTTACATCACATGCGAACTTGAATGGCCATGTTCTGTAGGCTCTCTTGTCAGCCTCCTGGTCAGACACTAGCGTGCATGCACATAACTTTTCTCCCAAGAATAGCTTTGGATGATAACAGTTGTCTGTAAGCATGACAAGCATTTCCTGCTACATAAGCCTTGTGCCGGTGTTGATGCAGTCAAGTGGGATTGAAGCTCTACGAACTGTGTCTAATTGAATTTCCTGCGGAAAGAATGCAATAGGATCCGGCATGCATAAGGAACACGTACCGAGTTTATTGCCGTGTGTCACTCTGCTGTTTTATGCCGGGAATCGGATATCTCTCGTTGACTCCTTCCAACCATTTCGGAGACCTCCGATAGCTTTTCTTCAGATTTCTCCACCCTGGCCTGAGTAAAGCTCTTCAAAACTTGATACAAAAAGCCATGAAATAGAAACTCAAAAAAACGCCCACAGAAATGTACGATCCATTGATGATTGGTGTAAAGAGTACATGAGACTGTCTGCAGAAGAGCCCGTGCTACAGAATGTAAGAAACGTCTTGCTTCAAGTCACTGTGAGGGCGCGAATCTTTTCGTCCCCGTCATCTGCTTTGACCGCCAGCTTATCCAACCTGGGCTAGCAAGGGGGGATTTTGGAAATGACATAGAGAAATGTGCTTGCTGATGTGTGCCTATTGTTCACATGGAACAAGAAGGGATTTGTTCTGTCTTGTCTGCAGGCATTGGTATTTCAACCATCAATTTGATTGATGGTGTGACCATGTTGCGCCTTTGCATTGTGAATGGGCGAGGGGCGCACTGCTCAATAGAACAAAGCTCTCATCAAAGCGCTGAGATAACTGGCGAGTGCTTTCTGAATGGAGTGTCTCATTGAACCGCATCTCATCCAAGAGCCTAGGCTGTTCCATGGTGCACTCCTGCCTTCAGGATGGAAGTGTAGGTTCAAGCAGGGACTCTTTATGTAAAATGAACTGCAGCATGATAGAGCTATTGTTTCTGCGTAATATCAAAACTCGTTGTGGATTAGACGCGGGGTGAAGTCAATCTTGCTGAAGTCCACATATCCGGCTTTCGCCCATCCAACAACCGCTTCCATTTTGCTGTCCAATTCTTCCAGCTTCTGATTGCTGGTCTGCTCTCGCCGCTCCAGCATATCCTCAGCAAAAGGACTTTTTAATCATCCTCATGAGGTTCATAGTCTAGTCTATGTGAAAAGCCCAGCTTGTATAGGCATGTGATATCAAGGACGCAGCTGACCAAAACTTGCTCTTGTCATTCTGAGTCTCTGCCACATCTTTCCGCAAGGAAATAGCGCTTTGATCCACCTCCAGCCGAACCTCCTGCAGAATCTCATCACTCATGCTGCCTCGTCATCTCACAAGTGCTGTTCCTGTGTCATTCTGCAAACCATCCTCTTTATTAGCCTGAGAGGGGGGGCATTAAGTAGGCCGCTACTAGTAGCTGGGACGCAGGAAAGCTCAGGCTTCTATTTATCTGGTTCCTAGATGTTTGGGGAGCTTGAGCTAAGTTAAAAGAAGCAAAGCAATATCTTAGCCCGCCACTCATTTTGTTTGCAAAGCCTTTCTTGCAAATCTCCAAGACGTCATGCCAGGCATTGTTGCGCTGGCCGCGTGGGGACGCCTTCGACTCTTTTGAAGTCCCCGAAAGAAGCAGCGAATTCTCCATAGGTACTTCCATGGCTGGAGGGATTGGCGCTCAGGGATTACCTTTAGGTAACTCTAGCAGCTTGTTCCAGAGCACGCTCACTTGTTATATTTCTATTCAGTTCAGTTGCGAGGCTCTGGACAATCATCTATTTGCTTTCAAGCCAGCAAAATCTAAACTGCTTGATGCAAGAAGGCAACTTCTTTCAATCGGCTTATTTCTTGAGTTGAAGGTTTCCAGCATGCGAATGACAGTGGAGATTTCTTGTCTAAATCTGGCAGTGCCTGTGGCAAGTGTTCAAGTGTAGGACTTTCTCACAATTCGTGACAGAAAGAAATGAGCGTTCGCCGATGCACAGATTGTCTCTCAATCTTCCTTCCCTCTGCTCAGATTCTAAAGGCAACCTCACACCCTGCGCCCTTCAAGAGTTGCGCTCATTAGATTTGTGTCGGGTGTACTCACTTACAGTTCACTGGCAAAATCAAAAGACTTAGATATAACTTATATAGTGCGTTCCAAAGTCTTGACGTTGGCCGAAGTACCGTCGGCATTGTTTCAGCAATGGTCTTCCCAATAGTCTTGACATTTAGGAAACAGCTGTTTCACCGTTCAGTTGACACCTGGCATGTTCGCTTTAGCATGCCCATGTGACAGTCCTTTGCAGGCCAAATTGTGTTTGTTTGCCTGTTGTCTTAACAATTAAGAAAACACTATCTTAAAAAAGTCCTTCATGCCATGACTCTGGGGAAAAAGCTGAGTCGGAGTGTGCTTTGGATAGTTTTAAGCTTTAGTCTTAGCACCAAACTGGCGTTCAGGCACAGAGAATTCTCTTTCATCACTGTCTTGTCCGTATGCTAAAATCCTATGTTGGGCCTTTTTGGAGCTTTGAATAGTCGGTTCAGCCATAGTCTTGACACCATGAGACCATGGGAGCACAATCCCTCTGCACCAGCTGATCATCAATCTCTGTAAAAATATATAATTGTTTTTTGATGCAACAACACTGTTCTTGTGGGGGGTTAGGCTGCAGTCTTGACATGTAAAATGCATTTTAACATGCACGCTTTCACCAGGGTCTTGACATACAAAAATCCCGGTATACATGCTCCAAATGCCTAGTCTTTGGAACCGATTATAACCGCTTCATCCTTTAAAACAGGTCGGGTCACCCGATCACCGAGCGACAGCTCAAGGCCTGCTCAATGTTCGCTGTCTTTCCGGTGAAATTACCATCCTAACTTCCTGACCTGAAACTTGGGGAGAACAAAAGCCTGCAGCTACAGCTGTAGCCCTGTGTCTTGCCCCGTGCTAGTCCTTCCTTCAATGCTCGTACGCGTTCACATCTGCTTTGCTTGCACGCTTTGCCTTGCTTTGCTGATTTCACTGATCCTTCTCGATTGATGGAGCTGTGCCCATTCTTAATGTATCTCACAGCAAAATGTCGTCATGTTGAGCCAGTCCCCCGCCTCTGCCACATCTCCTGGCACACGATTTGGTTCCACTGTAAAGACCTACGACAAGGCAACCCAAAAAAGAGTCGTAATTCGGTCTATCCACAGTTATATATATATATACACATGTGTATTATATTCTTGTATATACAGTGTAAACATATGCCAAGTGCTGTAAATGGACGGCATTGCCGACTCCAAGAATCGATGCATCAATAGAAAAGGTCCTCGTCAAGTCTTGTACCGCTGTCATCACTTTAGGTCTCCATGGAAACCCGCGGAACTCCCGTCGATAACTCACAGGAAGGTCATACACAAATACAAATCCATGGCCTGGGGCCTGGGGCTGCACTCGAGCGAGCCCAAAATTCATAGACATCACAATTGTAGCACATAAAAATTGACCCCGTGGGTTGATAGAACGATGGTTGCGACAATCGATACAGTCTGTTTTTGTGGAGCTCCCTCCAACCTTCTCGACTAAAGAGGAGCTGTGCCAACGGCACTGCTGTTACAGCCTAGGGCTGGTCAAACACTGAAGTGGAGCAAAATAAATACAGCAATTACTGTCAGTATTTCATTATGTCATTCATGATCATCATTCTCAAAGTTCTAATTTCATGGCCACCCATCAACTCTCAGAGTTTCCGGCCGCAATGCTACGAATTGTAGCTCCCTTCTGCTGTGTCAGCCTTTAAGCAGTTCGCTTTGGATGCGAAGTAGATCCAGCAGAATTACGATACGAGAATGAAAAGACTGGTTGCAACACGCGTGCAAAGGCCCTCCCACATGGCTGGCCTCAAGCAAAGGAAGGTCTGAATGGCATAGAGCATGACCTCACCCATGTGAATGCTCATATGCAACCTCATACTTCCTGCAACTTCTCAGAATTCCTTCTGGTGCATGTCAGCAAGTTCAGATCACCTCACAAGACCTGACCAGCAACAAAGTAGCTGCACTGAGGATCAACTGGATGAATCTTTGGATGTCCAAGCTGGTTTTGAAGAAGTGTTAGCAAATGCTCAGGCGTCATGAGGACATGACGCTGATGAGAGTGGTAGGAGGAGCCCATGGACATCCTCGGCATTTTAGCACCTCTCTCCCAAGTTCAAGGGTATCCTTGGATCGTCTTGTCAAAAGAATTCTCGAAAAGTTCCTGCCTCTCACAAAGGCCTCTCACAAAGATACTTCTTGACCACCTTTTCTTGAGCCTTTTGAGTTGTGAGCCATCTGCAAAGCTTTCTGATACTCCAGTCCAATAGCATAACAGGTCCATTGCATGCATCCCAAACTAGAGACAAACATCAAAAACATGGAGCTATGTGAAAGTGCAAAAGCAACACTCATCACCCACACTTCCTGCAAGCCTATTTTCGCCGGGGTCCAAATGTGAACCGTTTCCAGATCTACCCAAACAATCCTCATTCTGCGGCGTCTCTGAATTAAGCTCTTCACCTGTGTCGCCTTCTCGTGGCTGCATGCCGCCTGAGAGAGGCAATCATGACTGGAGGTTTGGTGGCCCCTAAGGTGCGTTAAGTCTTTGCTCACACAAGGAGATTTCCCCAAGCAACGACATCGACATGCTCCTACCTAAGTAGATGACGAGTCAGTCAGGTAGAATAAACACTATTTTGGAACAGACTGTATGGCAGGATACTAGTGCTTCTACAGCCAGAGGCAAGTCCACACTTGGCCACCACACAGAAGCACAGCAGTCCATCCCAAAGATCTCTCCCCAGGCCTGAGGACTTGTGAGGACTTGGGTGCGTGTGACTGCCGTTGCGACAGAATTGACCGAATTGGACTTTAAAGAATTGAAGAATGAGGTTGTCCTTACAGTGCCCCCCTGCAAGCCTTCGCCAAAGTGCCTGGCAAGGGGTCAGCGATCATAGTTTGACGCAAATCAGCAAGCAAGACGTTACCCCAGGTGTGCAAACTTCGGCTTGTGAGAAACTACCTAACAACAATGAGAAGGCACATTTAACACCAACAAGCACTAGACATCGAAACCGACTTCAAGAACTTGACCAACAAAGCAAAGTAAGTGCTCATCAATGCTCACTGACACTAAACCCCAAGAGGCAGCATTAATGCCTTGGCATCAACAGCGCCAAAAAGACTCCCATTGGCACACGCCTCGACAAAAAGTCAAGAGCCCTTGCATCTGGGCACACATAGTTGCGGATGATCATAATTCGTTGTGGTCAAGATTTTGGTTGTCTCAACACAATAAGATCGTCTACAGTGTCTAATAAGTCTTTAAAAGCTCCGTCGGATTGTGGGCTTCGTCAGTCAAGGAGCCCGGTCTGGATAGGCATTATGATAAACTAGAGTTTGAAAGGTTAGGTTTCGTCAGGGATTGTTATTGGAGTTTTGTATGTTGGAGCAAAGCTATGTAAGTTATTCAGCCGGCTTGTTGAGTTGAGGAAAGGCTTGAGACCTATGTTATGTTCAGCCTATGCTGGGCATGGTGAGTGTGGACTGCCGGCACTTGGCGGTCTTGATCTGGACCAAATTGGAGGATCTGAAATCTGCTCTGGAGACTCAGACAAGCTCATAGGCAACTATACACATAGATAAATATATATATATATATTCACCACCACCAGCTTCAGATACAAATGGATGAGAGTATTGGGTGGAGACAGCTGACTTCCTTACGATTCTGCTACCGCAAAAACTGCAAGTTCAGACTAAATTAGGAATTCTGACCGGGAGGGAAGGATAACAAATCCGCTCTGAAACCACTGTCTGCCATAGGTCCTGAATGGCAGTCGGTTGCGCAAAAACCTTAGGCGATTCATCCTCCGCCTTTCACTCGGTCAACAAAAACAACACAAAACAAATATACGATCCACCTATACAACCCCTGCACTTTGCGGTACAAGAAGAGCTTCAAGAAGACCTCCTCCATAACTACCCACTACGCGCAGTTGCCTCCACGCGATGGCAATACCAACAGCCATGCTCTCCGCCACATCGTCACTGAGCAAGGAAATGTACATATGCAAGTTTAAATTGAATTTCCAGCTCCTTCTACCTTTGCAAATGTTGTTGGGACCGCTGTCATCAGAGTTTTTCACAAGGTTTAGAAAGTATGCGACATCGAACAACAACGACAACACAACTTGGCAATTTAAGGCGCAAAGAGGCCTGCTGGTTCGCGACAGCAGCACCTGTAACCCAGCGACGTGTTGCAATAATTGAATTTGGATATGCCGAACACAATCCATTCATTGTTGAATGTGGCCTCCTTGATCAATGTGGCTGCAGCAACCGCGACCTTGCCGAAAGTTCAACTACAAGTACGACTGCTGCCAAACGTTTTGCGTTTTCCAAACCCAACACCCCGCCTGCGCCATGCAAAACATGACTAAACTTCTCCACGATAGGTCATTTTGGCTGACCTGCCACAGGGAGTGTGGTTTTGCTTTGAGGCTGGATGGTTGGTTGTAATATGACAGCCTTCATCGGGCAAAGTTTGTACACCCGCTTATCAAACGAATGTGTCAGCCACCCATCGACACATCCATCACGCAAGCCCGCAACAGTCCAACCTGTGCGACAGGCTGGTGGTGAACAGCAGTAGCTGCGCCTTCACACAAAGAGAAGCTCCCTTGCAAGGAACGTATAGCACGATGACGATTATACATGTTATATAAGATAGTTCTTGATCAGTCCACTGACAATGTCCACTCGTGGAAGTATCCCCGTGCACTTGCGCCTGAATTCAAACCTCCAAGCTGCTGTAACACCCTTGCCGGCTCCCTGTTCAAACTGACAGAATACCTTCTGCACTCAAACGCTTCACGCTTGTTTTCTTCGGGCAACATTGAAGCCCACAAAATGCCTGCTTCAGACAAGCGTCAGCCTGTGGTTCAAGACTGAAGGCAAGCCTTGCTCAAGCAAGAAAGGAATGACTGGACACCTGCGGCTGACAGCGCGTGCCTTCAGTCAGGCAAGCCTTACTCAGACCGACATGCTTCTACAGGCAGCCCTCCTGGCCAACACGGCACCTTCTTCAGGCAAGCTGCCTTCTTCAAGCGAACCTTGCTCGGCCCTTCCTCAGGCCAACGTCACGTGGCGCGTCGCAAGTCTCTTTAGATGGACACGTTGTTTTGTTCAGGCAAGTGATGCTCAGGCTGTCAAGGCGCGTTCTTTGGGCTCAGGCAGACGTGGTCAGGCCGACATGGAGCCTGTTTCATGCAGGCTTTCCTCAGGCCAACATTGTGCCCTTTTCAGCCAAGCCTTCCTTAGGCTGACATGGTTCCTTCTTCTGCCAAAAGCCTTTTTGGGTCGACGTGGCGCTAGGTTCAGGCAAACGTTGCTCAGGCTGACAGGGTTCTTTCTTCAGGTTGACAGGAATCCCATGAGTGCAAGCCGTCTTGAACACCTTAGATTCTATGGAGTTTGTCTGACAAGTTGTGTCTTTGTTTTGTTTGATGTCACAAGTCACAGGCTTTTATCTCTCTTCTCTGCCTGCCAAGACCAAAGCTGCACCCAAGAAGTGCTGCAGGCCATATCTGCGTCCCAACACTAAGGACCTCGCGAACCACCATGTGGAACGCACAGTCTGTTGCACCTAGCCTGTTCAATCATGCCTTAAGTTGATCAGGGATTTTCCTAGAACCGCCAAACCTTGGCAAATAGGCACCAGTACATGCTGTCAAATTGTTCAATCAAGAGAAACTAAATTGATCTTCTGGTCTGCTGAAGTGCTGAACAAAGGCCACTCTGGGACCTGCACAGCAGCATTGTCAGCGGCAGGACAGACTGATTAAGAAGCACCTCACAGATTCTTTGGCTGGGCCAGGGGCAAGCATCAGACATGAATGTCAAATTAAAATTCAAGCCTGCGTCTGCCCCGGCACGTGCGTTGCTCCCACACTGGCAAGCAGTGTACCTTCGCACAGCCCCCACAAAATGCTAGGGAGCCTGCGTTCCACCTAGAACGGGCCACCAATTACGATGTCTTGTAGAAACTTCCAACATTCTCTGAACCACTTGGCTCACCCAATGCCCAAAGTGAAGCATACATGTGCTTCACTTCATTCCTCCAATGTGTCCCAAAGCATTGTGGAGCACAAACGAACAAAACTCTTTTAAGGTCTCCAAATCCTCCATGTTTGTGTCTGGTGCTGGGGCCTCCGTGCCCAGCTGGTCAGCGCATGCTGCCCGGAGCAACCCTCGCTTTGGAAGGCCATAGCGGACAACGCCTGAACGGATCATGTCCAGCTTGAACTGCTTCAGAACATGGGAAAAAGGCTAGAAGCAAAGAAAAAGAAGAAGCAGCTTTAAAGCTCAACCCGGAGGCTTCTTCACACAACTGCCATATGATCTGTGCACACCAGTTTCCTAAATAAAAATACATCCAAAACCTATCTCCATCTCTCAAAGCAAATAGGAGGAAGCCATTGAAATGCCTCCAATCTTCCCAGCCTTAGTGAGGAAAGGCAGCTCTGGGTGAGTACTTTTCAATTCTGGTGGGTCCTCTGGGTGGTGGAGAAAAGATATGTGAAAGTCAAACCAAAATGACACCTGTGCAAACATGGCAGCCTCAAAGCCAAGAAAGGCACATGTGTGGAAAGCAAGGACTCGCTTAGGGTAGGGACTGAATTCAGGAGTTAGAAGGAATTCATTTCAGGGGTATTGTTTTCCATCCATCCCTGGTTGCGGAAAAAAAAATACATCAAGAGTTAATTATGTTCAACTTGTTAACTCACATGCAGTGATCTGAAGAATTAACTTTGGATGTATATAATTCTACCGCAATGTGGTTTCATTGACCATTGCTTTGGGGCAAGGAGAAGAAGAAATGACTCTGGACTTAATTTGCTTCAATTTCTGGGAGACTTGGAAAGTAGACAGGTTTACACCAGAGAGGCACAGAGACTATAGTTTGGGACACAAAGAAAAAGAATCTACTTCTGGATCTAATTCTTGTTCAAAGTCCGTTAATTGTTGAATCCTCTTGGGAGACTAGGAAACTAGAGAAAAAACCAGCAACCGTGCCAGAACATCCGTGAAAAGAATTAACCCTGGAGTCAATTCCTCAAGCAACCGTGCCAGAAATGAAAAGGATCCATGAAAAGAGTTAACCTTGGAGTCAATTCCTCAAGCAACCATGTCAGAAATGAAAAGGACCCATGAAAAGAATTCACCCTGGAGTCAATTCCTCAAGCAACCATGTCAGAAATAAAAAGAATTAACTCTGGATTTGATTCCTCGAACGACCCTGCGAGCATACCAGAGCTGAAAAGAATTAAATCAGGAATCAGGAGTTAATGCGTTTTAACTCTGGAAAGTATATACTCCCGCTTAGTCCAAGCCGGATCTAAGCCCTGTCCGTCCAAGCCCACAAACTTGCCAAGCAGCTGCAGACATGAAAACCTTGAAGGCAGCTTGATATCAATTGTCATTGACCAAGAAGAAAAAAGCAAATTAAATGCTTGCTTCATCCCAACTCTGTTGCAACTTGCTATAAACTGCAAAGCGTACCAAAAGCTTTCCTGTATAGTACAATGGATTTGACATTTGAGCAAAAAAGTTGGTTTCGTCGGTTGAAGAATCTGAACAAGCGCATCACGAATCTAAGACATGGACCGCCCACAGCAGGATGTCAAAAACGGATACGAAGACGGCATAATCATGAGGCCTCTGAAATAGACAGGAGCGTTGCAAAGCTTAAAGCTGGAAGCAATCATCCAACACGTTGATCTAAAGATCTAAGCTAAAGCTGAAGAAGCAGGGATCACCTGGCATGGGTTTGCACGTGCAGCACTGGCTCGCACATGTGTCCAGTTTTCGATCTCTTCTCCACTCCACATCTTGCGACCAATGGTCCTGCAGCCAGGACAATGTCTGCACTCTACAAGTGGCTGCCTGCTGAAATTATTGATCAATAACCTGTGGCATTGGTCCATCGAAACCCGTTATATTTATTGAGCTATCCCACCGCTACTAAGGATAAGAGTTTGAAGAAACAAAAAAAAAATTGGAGAGCAGTTTCACTCAGCTTTTTGGACCGCCTCATGTCCCCAATCGCTGATCGTACTTTGCTGTGTATGTGCCTATAGAAGAATTATCCAAGTCCTTAGAAGGATATCAGACCCTACCAAGCCCACAAGATCATCACTCACAGTCAGACCTCATGAAGTCGGCCCGGCTTGGGTCCTATCTCTTCTTGCCCAAATGCCCCATCTTTCTTCTGCCTCTCCTGCAAAGCCGTTCCAGTACATCTCCCAAAGAAGTCAAGCGTCCTTTCAACTCATAAGTATGACGACCGCAAATAATGAAAAGCAAACCTCTAAGACTTGAAAGTTCTATCACAGCCCTGATCCACATTCATGGAGTAAGCCTCGTGAGCTGGCCCTTGCTGTGACTTCAGTGTATGATGTGGCTTCATGGAGTGTATTTTCTTTGTATGAACACAGCAAAGCTGCAAAGTTCCTCTTCCTTCCGTGGTGAGACTCCTGACGTTCCAAGCCTTAGGCTGCCATCAAACATCAAACATCGCACCCACATCTGGTCTGGATGTTCTGCAGAATTTCAACTGTGTTCCCTTGATCCTCCATCTTGTCTTGCACTTTGCTCTGCATGCATTGAACTCATTCTAACCTTTTCACCGGGATCAAGAAAACATCGACTTGAACAATTGGAAGGTTGCATGAGGTTCTTCAAGAATCCCACAGTAGGAAACCGAACGGCTTGGATGGTGTAGGTTTTCCCTTATCGCCTGTGAGTTATCAGAGCACAATATCATTGCCCTCAGGTCGCCGGGCGTTCCAAGCTCTCTGGGTCCTGGTCCCTGAAAATATGCTTCGGAATAGCGCGAAAAAGCTCCTAGTAGCTTCTTGCTCCTAGTAGTAAGGCCAGGAGCCGCTAGTAGTAGCATCCTTGCTCCAAGCAGCGATGCCAGAAGCCCCTAGTAGCTTCTTGGTACTAGAGAAAGACATTTTGGCGCAGCAAAACTGGAGAGAAGTGAAAATGACAAATGTGACAGCTGGCAAAGAAATGCATGGCACCTACTCCCACAGACCTACCTCAGTCGCTTCCACGCAAGGTCCCCGGTCACGCGGGGCTGCCAAAAAATAGTTCCATCCTGGATGCGCACACCAATCTTCAATTCCTTCAAACATACTGTAGGTGTCCAAACAAATCAAAACAAAGCTGGATGTGTCTGGGATGTGTCTTTGGATGTCTACAGAATTGCAGCTTCAGGGCATCCAAGACTTCTAGGTCGTCGAATGGCCATCAATGGCCTTTCTCCGTGGTTGGTTTCTCCTAACGACGTCGTCGGCTACCGTGGAAGTCTTGCCTCCATCGCATCGACTAGTGCCTGCTCAGCAACAGATCCAGAACCCACAAGAAAGTATAGCAGCATAAAATGTGAGGAGAATGAAGACAATGTCAAATTATTGAGATTGATCTTGATTCAGGGAAAGGAGAATCCCAACGCTACAACGCTGCCTGCTCGTGCATAGCCCACAAGGACACTTCTTCAGCACTCTTGGAAGACTGCTCGAGGTCCTCTGCAAGGGTTGCAAAACAAGCCGAAGAAAACAATCTCAAGTATATATATCATATCCTTAAGCAAAAAAGTTTAAAGAAAAGACAGAACAATGCCAAATGGTGGAGATTGAAAAAGGAAAGAGACCAATTTCAAGCATTCTCTGACCTTGTCATTGGCTTGGAAGAGAATGCTAAACTCCTCGACTGTCTCAAATCTCTGCCTCAAGCAAGCTCAAAAGCTTCTGATTCTAGTATCAGCCGGTACTGGACAACCTCATTCCTGAACCCCATAAAATCAAAAGAACTTTGCCTTGTCCGTGCTCGCTCCTCCACAGGCTCAGCTTCCTCTTCATGAAATTGTTCCTCGTAGATGCTCGATCAACCCAGAAAGCTCAAAAACAGATTCGTTTGAAACCACAATGAAATACAAGCACTCGTCATTGGCAGAATGAACTCCCATGTTTAGGATAAGCAAATCTTTGGGTATCGTCTGTACTGATGTACTCATATGTAACCTAAGGACAAACATTCAAAAAGCAGGACAAGGAACAAAAATATCAGGTTTCAGAGATGGCATGATCCATGTTGTTTGAGAGACTTCGACTTCCACCCACCTCTCCTGGCTGAGGCGGATGAACTTCCGCCGCACCTCAGCAACAGGCGCAGGTCTTTTGGTGAAGAAGGCACCAATGCCCTGAATCACCCCGGAAGCTGATCTTAAGTGCTAGAACCCAAGCACAACTGTTTTTTTTTGATACATATGCCCATTGGCATGGCATTTTCGGCAAATCATTCGAATTCTCAAGATTTGACCCAAGTGACTGCGGAGACATCTATAGAGGAAGGCAGTTGCTGCTGGCAGCGGCTCCTCAGATAACAGACTCTCTGGGAGTGATATTATGTCTGCCTTGCTGTACTAAGAATAATGTGATCATTCCCAGCCACCAAGCAACTATTATGCACACTTAGTCAACATGGAATGCGGAAGGTGCACATTTCCGACAATGCAGGCTTTGAAACGAGAAGAACTGAGGTACAAGCAAGCGAAACAGGGGTGCTTTGGTCACCTGCAAAGTTTTTGCATTCTACATGCCTGCAGCATCAAAATCATGTTGGCGAACTACCGCGAACATCGCCAAAGGGTTCACTCAATCGGCTTCCCTCCACCGTAGACTTTAAACCAGCAGCTTCCTGACTGAGGTGCCCAACAACGTTCGCCGGGGCAAGACTCCAGTACCTCCACACAGGACAGTGACAGCTTTCGATTCCCGGACAATAGAACATGAGATGAATACGATCAAAAAGATGGAAGGTCTACCAACGCCTACCAAGGTCTGCACTTGCCCGTTCCCTGGTCACAATAAGAGAGAAGAGCTGAGTACCTGCCAAAAGCCAATAGCATTATTGTAAAAAATTGCACAGAATCTGATGAATGTGCATACACATCCGAATGAGGTTCTTGGGACAAAATCTGAAGAGGTTGCAATCACAGCAGTTATTGTGTGTTTTTGACTCATTGCCGTTCCGTTTGCACAGGGCCATTTCTCAGGTTTGAGGTCGTCTGCATTAACTAACTCTAAAGGGCTAATGCACACCGAGATCCACACAGAACACTTGCTCCTTGGGGTTCTTTCTCAAGTGTGTCTGTGTCAAGACTGCAGAGCATAGATTCATGGCCATCTTGCTAACTCGTGGAGCCACAACTTGTCTTTTTGCATGTTTTTTTCCAAAGTTTGGTGTCGCAAAAACAAAAGCAACAAAAACATGAAGCCGCAGCTTCCAAAGTGATACACAGCTGTACGCACATTTGAAATCAAATTTGTCGAGCCAGGATGTTCACTGCATTCTTTTGCAGTTCTATAATTGTTTAATTGTTTATCCACATACAAAATCAAAAAAATGCATTTGACTTACACAAACCAGTTTACACACATCCAGTGACGACATCTACCTACTATGGCGGACTGACAGTTAGAATACGTTTTTATTTATATGCAGTTAGAATATGGTTTTACATAAAGCCTGGGGGAGGCTGGAGACCACATGCAGTTGAATATAAAGACATCGCTCTTAGGTTGGAGGCCATCGAGACCATTGCTCTTAGGTTGGAGGCCATTGCATTGCTATTAGGTTGGAGGCCATCGCTCATAAGTTGGAGGCCATTGCTATTACTGTAGGTTGGTTGGAGGCCATCGGTCTTAAGCTGGAGGCCATCGCTCGCCATCGCTATTAGGGGG